GCCATTAAAATCAGAAGCAAAAAAAACAAAAACACAAAAATTAAAGAACACACCCACTGTAAAACAGATTGTTCGCTGCCTGTTTGTTAAGAAATCTATAACAAATTGCAATATTTTCATTTCTTTTTTCCTTATTTGTTTTTCAAAATTACTTCATCAATATCAAAATATATCAACAATTTTATACATTAAAATTTATTCCTCTTATTCAAGTAATCAAATACTATTCTCTTTTTATTACAAACATTTATTTATATTTAAAACATTTTATCAATGTGATTCGTATCATGTTCTGCTTTATATTTAAAAACATTGCACCAGTTTTCCCTTCTGTGTAATACTTTTTTTTACAATACAATTGGAAATAAATATCAAATTAAGGCAGTTTACTACATTTACATCATTTTAGTCTTATTAATGTTTTATTTAAACGTTTCACGATTAATATAATCAATTATTCTGCAATATCAAAAATATATATTCTATCAAATTTTATTGCTTTTTTTACCTGTCATTAACGACTACATAGGGGGTTCGTCAAATTTTTTCGGACCTTTCTTTTGGTTCGAGAGGAAGAAAAGCTTGGGAAACACTGTTCTAGTGTATTACCTTAATAAACTGTTACAAGGGAGCCACACGAAACAGACCCCCCTTGCCGTTTTTATTTCGACGTATTTTGTAAAAGAGGTTGCCTAGTTCGAAAACGATTTGTTTAAACCACTGATACAGCCCCTTAAATAAACGTTAATTAAAACTTATTCTGAAGCAACCATCTGGTCCTAATTATTGCAAAACATTTAGAAGTTTTGTTAAAATCCGTTCCGAGCATCGCTGTTCGGACAATAATTTTGGAGACAATCTGTACAGACTCTCCCGTTTGCCGCGTAATTGTTGTGTATAAGGCGATTAAGAGATTGTTTACAACCCCTTTTACTTATATACACATATACCCCAACATTAGGTTTACTGATATTTCTCCGTCTTGCTATTCGTAGACCACTTGTGGTCAGACCTTGTTGCGTGTTCTAGGATATTCACAGTGGACTCATTATGGGAATTACGTGGAGCAGATTAATCTTTCAACTCCATTCTCCGTTGTTCCTAATACATGTTGGTAAACTATTTATTATGTAGGTACATCTCGAATTCGTAGATGCCGCATATGCAGTTAAGTAGACTTGTAGTTTAATAAATGAAAGCAAGTTAAAAATGTATCTACTCGTACAATAATTATTGTCACAAACGCTTACTTAGTGTTTCAGTTATAAACGGTTTATAATAAGTAGAATTAGTCAACTTTACTAACAAAAGTTACTCGCTCATTTAATATTTTGTTCGTCGAGGGTTAAAGGACGTACAAAAAACCGACCAATGAAAATCATGCCACTGTTTAAATTTGTTCGATACAGAAGATGGATTTTCATTTGATTTAGTTAGAAATCAAAGCAAAATTAACAATTTAACTCACGAAAAACTTCATTCCTGTCTAGAACGTATTTTATTAACGATTTGATAATGTTCAGTTTCTCGTGAAATAAAGTGCATTCAATTTTCGTCTATCAATTATATGGAATTATCCACCTATAACCGTCAGCTGGAATTGGCGCTTGTGCCTTGTGTATGTGTGGGCACTTTCCGTTCTGGTGCATACACTTGCAATTAACTCTGTCTGTAAAAATCCTCGCATCTCGACACAACAATATTTCGATCGTGATACAATATTTTCATGCTTTTTGTTTTATTTTTTTTTTTTTTCATTATTTAATTTTTTATTACAGCTACACTTTGGTACCACTTATAGATACTAATCAACATCATCATAAGGTCGTCAGTCCTAAGACTAGTTGGACACGTACCTCCACTCTTTCCTACCTGAGTTAATCTTTGCATTTCCCTAATTTAATATAGGTCTACCTCTACTCCTCTTACCTCCTGTTTCTGCCTATAATATGTCTCTAAGTAGCCCTTCGTGCCTAAGATGTCCTACCAACCTATCTCGCCTATTTCTTATTGTCATCCATAGAGTCCCTTGTTCTTCTATTCTTTCTAATATCTCTTCATTCTAACCTTCTCTATTCACGGTTGTAACACCACATTTTGAACGCTTCTAACCTTTTCTTTTCCGCACCGCCCACCGTCAGCATCATTAAACTGTCCATGTTTCGCACCCGTACAGCGCTGCGCTCCAAACATACACCTTCAAAAACCTTTTTTGAATTTCTAAATTAACCATTCGCGAGCATAGAAGTAACTTCTTTTTATTAAAGGCGACCCAACCCTGCACTATCCTTAGCTTTATATCCCTACTACTCCTTCCGTCCTGATTTATCTGACTTTCTAGATACCTAAAATCTTCTTCTTCTTGCATACCAGTAATTTTTATTTTACTTTTATTTATTTTAATACTAGCGACCCGCCCCAGCTTCGCAAGGGTGCAGTGCTGATACTTAATATACTACTGAATGTCTTTATATACAACATTTACAGCTTTTTTGTCATTAGATAGTACCGTCGCAACCGCATGTCCCTGCATTTTAAATCTGTAATATCTTCGAAAATATTCATTTAAATTACATGCTGTTAAGAGCCATATTGATCTATATTAAATGCACAATGTATTTAAAAGTACTTAATTGGATAAGGATTAATGCTGTATTGCTTAAAATCACTTCGTAAATAAGCCATTACTTCTCATAAAAAGTAAAGGATAAAAAATGGTTATTGTAGGTTAGATAGACATACACCATCCCGGACTTTTTTGTAGACCTTTTTAAGATGTACAATACTGCGGTACATTATTTTGATCTATCTCGTAGGGTTTAGCCCGTTTGCAATGTAAGCGCAAAAAAATGTGTTTATTTACGAAACCACATTAGAAACCTCTAAAATTATCAGTGTTTCTCTACTATATTATGCATGTATTATACATATAAACCTTCCTCTTGAATCACTCTATCTATTAAAAAAACCGCATCAAAATCCNTGGAATCAAATAAAAATCTTTTGACTTAAGATAACATTATATTCATAAATCACATATTATAAAATTTAAAAATGAGTTAATATATTGCTTTTCCGTTTATAAATAATATCTACAGCCTCTCTCTTCAACGTCCAGCAGTAGTCTGCTAACATAGCAGGACTCCATTTGTCCTGGTATCGCTGTTCCATGCCTGAAATATCCTGATGAAAACGTTCACCATGTTCGTCGCTAACATCTCCCATATTTTCAGGACAAAAATCCAAATGTGAGTCGAGAATGTGTATTTTGAGGGACATTTTGCAACCGAGAGCGTACAATGCTTGGATCATATTCTTAACCAGGTTTTCATAGTCTTCAGATTTTTTTTTACCCAAGAAATTTTGAAAAACTTTTATCATGGATGTCCAGGCCTGTTTTTCCTTTCTATTCAATGTGCTTTCAAAAGTCTTGTCATTCATTAATTCTTTTATTTGAGGTCCTATGAAAATTCCTTCTTCTAACTTGGCATCTGTCATTTTTGTAAACTTTTTTTTAAATATTGAAAAGCTTGACCTTCGCGATTCAGTGCTTTTACGAAGTTTTTCATCAATCCTAATTTTATATGCAGAGGTGATATAATAATATTTTCTTTTTGCACTAAAGGTGGATAAAAAACATTTTCAGTTCCTGGTGTAAAAGCTTTTCGTAACGGCCACACTTTTTTTACGTAATGGTTTTCCCTGTCGCGACTGTCCCAAAGACACAAGAAACAGCAATACTTTGTGTAACCCTGTATTTTTTGTAGTGAATTTACCACACACGTAACAAAAATTGTTAGGATTGCTTTCACAGGAACGAGGCATATCAAAAATATAAATTCACAAAGTTTTACTTAAAACTTCACAATAAAAACTAAAAACAAAATTTGTTTGATACACTTAAGACGTTGCTGTAGGTTACAGTGCTATTACCATATCATACACTAATTGTATTTAACGGTGTTTGATAGCGAATGCCAGCGCAATCTTAACGTTCTTTATGATGTATTAAATCTAGTATAGTAGGGCCGTATTGTAATAACAAACAAGTCGAAACTTGCGAGAGTGCGGCGAACGCAATACAAGACTAAACTTGCATAGCTCGATAACTCGAGCTAAGACACTTGTAATATTATAACTGATCATTACTATTTACCAAGTACTGCCTATTTTTGTATTTCATCATTCATGGGCAAAACCATTGTTAACCAGTGAGGGATAGACAGCGGGAAGCGACTTTGTTTTATACTAGTAGTGATAGTGATAGTGATAGTACTGTTTTGTCAATAGGTACTAATAATAATTTAAAAATGTGGATTTATTACTTTATTTTCTTTTTTCATGTGCATACATGGACATACTTTCGCGGCGAATTAAGAATCTAACACAGAGATATTCTATTAACGTGTAATCGTCAAAGGTCGGCATCGTCTTTTGAAAAATCCGTCGCAGTACAGGGAAATTCCATTAGGAAATTCTTGCAAATACCTCAGCCGTCTTTTCGTATAATTAATAAAGTAATATAAATGCAATAAATAAAAGTAAAGCCTTTACCTATATACAGGTAAGGCAAAAAGTTCACCGAACATAGAAGTTACACATTTCATTTTCGGCATTGTTTTCTTTTTATGTCGCATAATTTGCTGAACGTGCTGTGCTTTTTTTAAAAAGTAAAGAAAATTACATTTTCCAATAAATGTGTATTTATTTATTCATATTAGCAATTACATTTATGAATTTGCTGCTGCATTAAAAATTATTGTAATATTTTAATGTAAGTCCGCCTTTTTTTATTTATTATACACCAGCAAATACTGAATGATAATAATGCGACCAGGGGAATAAAAGATTCCATAACAACACAACAGTCCTTATTATTGTTCGTTAAATTTTACTCTGCATGTTTCCAGACAACCAGTAGAAGGAAAACGTTGAAAACCTCTGCACTTAAAAATAAGTAGGAAGATAAATAATACTTGTGCGTATCTTTTCTGTTCCAGGAGAACATCCCGCGGCAATGCAACACGGCAACAAGAATACAGCCCCTTTGTCTCTTTCACTTCACTGCGCCCTTGTTTATAGTTTCACGATCTTCATAATAAAACACATCAGATGAAATCTCTTGTAAACTTGACTTTTATTTATGACCCCCTAATTATCACCTATACCCATTTCACTTGTACATTGTGCTAGCATCCCCATCTGACGAATTTCAAGATTAAAAGTACTTATGCTTTTTGTAAAAGTTACTCACTGATCGTAATTAGTCCCATTAGCAATTGAAAAATTTTCATACATCATTACAAAAAGAAAATAATGTAAACGATCAATAGGATTTTAAATTTTCATAATAATAAAACTGATCAGCTATAATTTAAATATACCTATTAACGTATAAAACCAACTTCACAAACTAGCACTAAAAGGTTAACAAATTCAAATAGGACCATACCTACCTGAGATGTTACAAATGAAATATTTTTTTTTTAAATTCAAAAGGGTATCAAAAAAAGTTAAGAAATTGTTCGTGTATCAGATTGTCGGCCAAGCTAATAAAATTCTGTTTTTAATCAGAAATTGTGATTTTTCCTTACACTAAAAAAATGGAAGGAATTCCGAAAAGTAAGTAATAAGTAGATTAGTCAATTAATAGAAATGATACTGACATCATATTTATTATACTTTATTAAATATTGTTTTGACTTAACAGCTTTTTCACCGTGAATTAGTTAAAAGTTTTTTACTAAAAAAAATTATATTATAATCAGTTACATTTATTTCTGATAAATGAATATCATTCATTCATCATTTGTTTTAAATAATCTGGACTATTCTTTCTACAATTTGTAATTTTATGCAGGTAGATAAAGCATTAGATTTGTAATTTTTTGTTACTACGGAAACCATGAATATATTAAAAAATAATGTTATGTACTTAGAATGAAAACGTACACGTCGTATTTCTTAAAGTTTTCATTGAAATAGGTAATTATTACTGCTTCTTTCAACATTAAACAGTATCACTAATCAAAGTATGTTAGTTATATCCGACAATAATTTTATATTTTTAAAAATTTCGATTGCTGAAAATATCTTTAATTTTAAAAAATATATATCACCCTGTATATAACTATTCACGAGCGACATCTACCACCCAATATCCAATACTTGTATGATGATATTTATTTAAGGAAGATTTTGCTTTCAGTTATCTGCATTTTGTAATACTTAATTTTCTTAAAGATTAACAACTTAATCAAGTAAATTATTAATATTTAGTTACAAGCGTTACATATTATTTTATGATATAAACAACTATATTATTATTATCTTTAATAAGTTGTAAAACATAAGCTTTGTCAGCTGTCAGTTGACATCGTTGACATCTAACTCCCCCAATGTGAAGGCTATAATTTTTGGAAAAGATTTAGAAATGTGTTTTACTATGCAAAACTACAAAAATTCATTAACTGTTTTCGTTGTGCTTATCAGTAACTGAAAATAAATGGTACAAACATTTGTGACAACGTGAATTGTGTTCCCAGAAGTGTATACGTCGGTTTTGAAGATGTAGATAATTTATTTTGTTTATGAGTGCCAAATATTAACTATCGTTTAAAAAAATCGTTGAATATATGAAGAAAGATGATTCCGATTAAAGATAATCAAGACGTAGCTTGTTATTTAGTCACTAAACATTCGACATGGAAGGGAAAGTAAGTTGCAAATTTTTTTACTTTTTTTTCTCATAAAGTGTTTTTGTAGATACAAACGTATCTTTTCTGTCGGAACCATGGGCATTACAACATACAACCCAAATACTCTAGAAGTAACCAACAGATGGGTTTATAGTGATTTTATATCATTAACAGCATTACGACCAACAACCAATGAATTTCAAATTGCTATTAGAAAGGAAAAAGGAAAAATAGATAATATGAGATTTTCCACTGATAATAGAGTGGATTTGATCACACAAGCATTAAAATTTAGGCATAATTTTGCTGAAAAATCAAAGGAAGTGATGGTAACAAGATTCATAATGGAAAGATCATATCCTTATTTTTAATCATTTTTTTATTAGCGTTATCATGCTTACAAACATCATTGGTCAGATACAAGATTGCCAGTAGTTTTAGAAGTTACACCATATTCTCTTGATCAATTAGATGCCACAACTAATCATGTTTTATCAAGCTACTGCTATAAAGATTTTGAAGGAATTTGCATGATATCAGATTATTCAGGTAAATAATATATGTACCTATCATTCACTGCATTAATTGTTTTGTTTATTTTGGCCTATTAAGTATACAGTTAAAAATTAGTTTCAAATAATTAATTTTTAGGTGGTTTCGTAATTGTTTGTGGTGGTTTTGGTAGATTGCATCTTTTTCAAGCTCAAAACTGTGATGAAATTAAGCAAAAAATCTTAGAGAATGCCACTTCTTATTTAGGAATTAATATAAAAGTTTTAAGTAAACCAATTACATTAGAAGATTTTCAAAACCAAAGGTTTGGGAAGTTCAGGTAAGCAATTTATTCTTTTTTTTACTGTTACTTTTTTATTATTTGTAGTTTACTATGTAAATATTAAAGGGTTGTTACAATGAGTCTTGCTCTAGGATTTCAAGTCAATGCCCCTTTTTTTAAACATATAATTTGCTAATACTGATGTTTTTCTTTTTAAGTGATGATGAACATTTAACATCTGTATCTGAGTTTCCTGTTTACAAAATTCGCAAAGCAAGACACTCAGAACCAGTTAGAAGAATATTATGTCTTTCGGAAACATGTTTACTAGAAAGAGATCCCCAAACATACAGCATTTGTACTTTAAGGCCATTAGGAGAAATTTTTGCATTGGTGAGAAATAATGAGAACTTACAGCTATTTGATATTGAGTATTTCAATGGTGTTGTTCGATCATACACTACCACTGATAGGTAATTACTTAAATTTTTGTTTCTTTTATAAAGTAATTTTAATTTTTTAAATTTAGAGATTCATTATTAGCTTCTTTACTTGATGGTGTTAGAGCTTCTGGCAACAGAGATGTGCATGTAAAAATGGTTCCAATTGAAAGAGGACTTAGACTAGGTCCTTTGAACATGCCAGTTGATGAAGAAGCAGAGAGTCTTCACTTAAAATTCTTGCAAAATCCTCCAATTCGTTGTTCTTTTTCTGAATGTGTTAGAAGGTTTAATGCTAATGTTCCTTATAGCGGCTTATTGTACAGTGTCACGCAAGAGGTATTTTAATATTATTTGTAATAATTTTAAAATAAATGACTTTTCATTAGGGAATTTTCACTGAAAATAAAGAGAAGCTTATCATGAATTCGTTACAAGCTTTGGTACAAAAGGAAGGTGACCAAAAAGCAATTACGTCCGTTGAATTAGAAGCTCAGTTTCAGGCTTTAAGAAGACTGGTTGCTAGTAAAGTCGGCTATGCAGCATTCACTGTGCTACCTGGGTAATACTGCTATACATTTGAAATTTTGAAATATTAGAAATTTGAAATTTTGTAGGTTTCGAGAAGCAGTTGGAATCAAAGTTGTTACAGCTTTAAGAAGAAACGATCAAGGTGTTACTCACGCTGCTATTGACATGATATGTACCTTAATGCACCCAATGCATGACAATTTTGATCTTAGGCAAGAACAAATGAATAAATCGTCCCTTTTACAGTCCAAAAGTTTTTTAGAAAGCCTTTTGAATATGTGGGTTACCCATATTGTAAGTGAGACATTTATTTGATTAATTGTTATTAATTAAACACTTTTATTTGTATTGCTTTGTTGTTTTTTCAGTCGCATGGCACAGGAGCACTAGTAGTTTCTGCAATGTTAGATTTTTTAACATTTGCCTTGTGTGTTCCATACAGTGAAACAACAGATGGGAAGCAATTTGATGTGCTTTTAGAAATGGTTGCTAGTAGGGGACGTACTGTATTCAGATTGTTTCAGGTTTGCATTATTGATTAGGTATCAATTTAATAAAATCTGCTAATTTTTGAAATTATTATATTTAGCATCCTTCAATGGCAATAGTTAAAGGGGCAGGTTTAGTTATGAGAGCACTGATTGAAGAAGGTGAAGAAGAAGTTGCAGCACGTATGCAAAATCTTGCCTTAGCTGAAGGGGCTTTACCTCGTCATCTTTTGTCTGCGTTATATACCCAAGGATGCGATGGTCGTCTTTTGACTCACAGGCAGTTATCCAGACATCTTGTAGGTCTTTGGGTGACCGGAAATCCAACAGCGATGGGCCTACTTAAAAGAATAATGGTACTAATATCAAAATGTCCAATAAGCAACTCTCAAATCATTCATATTCTAGCCTGTTGGACTTATAAATTATTTAGATTCCCTTGATATTGTTCCAAAGGATGCACTAGAACAAGAGATGCTAAACCATCGAGATAATTTAAAGATAGCACAGGACCACGCAAATAAAAGCAAGAGAAATCCTAACTGGGTTATGGTAGAAAGGAAACTGAAATTTGTTGAAAAACAAGTTGAACATTACACTACTTTAGCATTGCAACATTGGGGGGCTAGAACTGGAATCTCAATCGAAAGAAAAGAAAAGGTTAAGGAAAGACCTATTGTTTTAAGGAGGCGAAGAGAAAGAATTAAGGCTGAGGCAAACTGGGCGTATTTTTATTGGAAATTTAATCAAGATCAAGCGTTACCCAACCTGATTTGGAATCATAAAGTATGTATGTGATTTGCTCTAAGAGTTTATTTGTTTTTATCAAAAATTTTAGACAAGAGAAGAATTACGTAGTGCCTTGGATAATGAGATCAGGACGTTCCAGTCTGACCAGGAACTGGCAGGATCAACTCTTGTTGCTTGGAACTATCAGGAATTCGAAGTTCAATATCAGTGTCTAGCTGATGAAATCAAAATAGGTGACTATTATCTAAGACTGCTCCTTGAGATGGAAGACAATGATAATTCTCCCATCAGGAAATCTTACATTTTCTTCAATGATCTATACCACAGATTTTTACTTACAACAAAAGTGGAAATGAAATGTATGTGTTTACAAGCGATGTCTATAGTTTATGGGCGATATTATGAAGATATTGGCCAATTTAGTGATACTAAATATATAATTACGATGTTAGATAGGGTAAATTAATTTAATACATTTTGGACATTTATAAAAATATTTTGTGTAAAATTTTTTGTATTAGTCTCATCAAAATGTCTAAATTTTATTATTATTTTAGTGTCATGATAAGATGGAACGCGATCGATTAATAATATTTATTAGTAAGTTGATTAAGCATCCTAGGAATGTACGAGACTTGTTAGATGCGGGTGGTATTAGAGTCCTGGTGGATCTGATTACTCTTGCGCATTTACACACATCCCGAGCTGTGATAAGAACGCAAACAAATGTGATAGAAGCTGGGCCAAATATGCAACAAGTTCAGGAAAAAGAATGGTACTATAATAGCGAAGAAGGGGGCAGAAAAGGACCTGTAAACTTTCAAGAAGTAAGTTTCAAAACGATTTTACATTTAAACATTTAGTCGTAGCAATTTTGTACAATTTAAAAGAAATTAAAATGTGAAGAGACAAAGACAATCGGAATCAGTGATTTTGATGATTTTCTAAACTTATGTTTGACACGCTTACTCATTTAAATTTAATTTTAGATGGCAGAACTGTACAATAAAGGTGTTATAAATCCAAGAACTCGCGTTTGGGTAATGGGTTTAGATAATTGGCGAGTAGTTGCACAAGTACCTCAATTAAAATGGTGTCTACTTGCTAAAGGAAGCCCTGTATTTAATGAAACTGAACTTGCAATACTTATTCTAAATATTTTAATAACCATGTGCGAATATTATCCTAGCAGGTAATCTTAATTACTAGTGCACATTGTTTTTTAACGAGAGAACATAAATTTGAGTACATTTTTAGGGATCAGGATAATGCCATTATAAGACCAGTTCCAAAGGTGAAAAGATTACTTTCTGAGTCGTTTTGTTTAGGACATATTGTTCAGCTGTTACTTACTTTTGATCCTATATTAGTAGAGAAAGTAGCCACTCTTCTCTGTGAAATTATGAAAGATAATCCAGAAATATCAAAGCTGTATTTGACTGGTGTCTTTTTTTTTATACTGATGTACACTGGTAGCAATGTCTTGCCAATAGCCAGATTTCTTCAACTAACTCATATGAAACAAGCATTCAAAGCAGATGATGTATGTTATCATAATTAAAAGTATCATTGGTTTATTTAATTTTTTTACAGTCGGCCATATCAGATATTATGCAAAGAAGTATCCTTGGACAACTGTTACCTGAAGCTATGGTCAACTATTTGGAGAATCACGGTGCTGAGAAGTTTGCTCAGATATTTTTAGGGGAATTTGACACTCCTGAAGCCATTTGGAATGCTGAAATGAGGTAATTATTTTTATGCACCTTTAATCCAAGTATGTAATATTTTTCTTTACATTACAGACGAATGTTAATCGAGAAAATAGCAGCTCATATTGCCGACTTCACCCCAAGGTTGCGTAGTAATATTTTAGCCCGCTATCATTATCTTGCAATTCCAGCCGTTCGTTATCCACAATTGGAACGAGAACTGTTTTGTAATATATTTTATCTTAGACATCTTTGTGATTCAACAAGATTTCCTGATTGGCCTATTTCTGATCCAGTAAGTTTTATTTTTTTTTTTACGCAGTAACGTACTTCATATATAATGTTAAAAGTAGAAATTACGTTTTTATATATGTCTTCATTTTATTTTTATTTTTAGGTCAAGCTACTTAAAGATGTTTTGGAAGCATGGAAATATGAAGTGGAGAAAAAACCGCCTACAATGACTGTTGAAGAAGCATATAAATGTTTAGGACTTAAAGGAAACGATCACGAAGAAGCAACTATACGAAAAGCTTATTATAAATTGGCTCAACAATATCACCCTGATAAAAATCCCAATGGAAGAGTAAGTGAAGATTCATTAGAATTTTTTTTTTATTAAAAAATATGTTTTCTTATAGGAGATTTTCGAAGCAGTCAACCAAGCCTACGAATTTCTTTGCAGCAGAAGTTCTTGGAATGCAGATGGTCCTAATGCAAACAATATTGTGCTTGTATTAAAGACCCAGAGCATTTTGTTTCATCGTTATTCAGAAGGTAATTTGAAAGATCATTTTGTTTAAAAATAAATATTTTAGGAAGAGATAATGAAAACGCTACTTATTACACGTATTACTAACTAAAAAAATGATTCAAGAATTAATATNCTAAATTCCTTAATATGAAAAACCTTTATGAACCTTTTATCATCGTCTTGACACAACACAATAAGTTACTATAAAAAGTATCACAAATAAAAAAAATCGGTTACGGTAAATTTTGTAAAGTCGCCTGTTTATTGTGGTATATAGTCCCAAGTGGAAAGAAATAATTACCTGGCTTTTGTCTTTAAGAAGGTGGTTTTCTAAGGTTTTTTCCTTTGCAGATTTGCATCCTTACAAATATGCTGGATATCCTCAACTAATGAAGACTATACAAATGGAAACAGCAGATGAAAAATTATTCTCGAAAAAAGACCCTTTACTTGCCTCAGCCACGGAGTTGGCTTATCATACAGTCAATTGCTCAGCACTAAATGCAGAAGAACTTAGAAGAGAAAATGGATTAGAGGTAATAGTAGTTTTTGATACTTTTGTCAAAGTCACAGTAATAATTTCTGTTTTGTTACAGATTTTATTGACAGCTTATTCTCGTTGTGTGAGCGTTCTTAATAAATCTTCTAAACAACAGGACACTTGTGTTCAAGTATGTGAACACATCACTAAATGTTACACAGTATCAGCACAATTTGTTGCATGCAGAGAAAAGATGATCGATTTGCCTCAGCTTGTCAAAGATTTGTGTAGAATTATTTATTTTAAGGTAAATAATTATCTTATAACCGTGTATATTTATATTTCTCTTTAATTCATTCTTATAGAGAAATTTGTATTTAAATTATTATTCTTTTTAATAATACATATGATGTGCTAACTATTAATATTTTATGATCTTCCGCAGCATCTTATAAAGTTGTGTTTCAATGTAACGGAATGCATATGCGCCTTAAGCAAGGACCCCATTCTACAAATGCAACTTTTGAAAGGCGGAGCTCTATGGCATCTGCTATTCGTAATGTTCAACTACGATTTCACACTAGACGAAGGTGGTGTAGAACGTAACGAGGAGAGCAATCAACAGGAAATAGCTAACCGTTTAGCCAAAGAATCTATTAGGGCTTGTGTTAGATTAGGTGGTTATGGTCAGGGAGAAGAGGAGACTCCACACAATCCTTTAACTAGATCTATTCTTGAAGCTTTACTCACCCCTTACATTGCTAATCAATTGGGAACTGAAAAGCCTGAACGTGTAAGTGAATAGCATAACTTTAAATGAGTTCATATTCACTTTGAATTTTCTCCTTGTTTACTGACTGTTTGTTGTAGATTTTGAAAACTTTAAATAGTAATTCAGAAACTCCGTATCTTATCTGGGACAATAGTACAAGGGCTGAGTTGTTGGAATTTTTGGAATCTCACTGTCAATCTCGTGAATCATCTGATTTAACAATAGAAGATAAAATATCCTACACTGCCCATAAGGGAGAATTGAAAGTCGGGAATGTGTTTATCCGTATATATAATGAACAACCAACTTACCCTCTACAGGTAACCATTTTTACCAAACAAAAGGGAGAATTTTAAATATTTCTAAAATTGATTTAGTGAAAGCTGTGGCAATAAACTTAATGAATTGCTCCTTGTAGGATATTTCTAACATTTTTAAGAATAGAAAGTTTTAAATTTCTATGTTGTAAAAGGAAAATTTATTTGTTGGAACCAGCTGAACTGATTTTGGGAATTCAATATGTTTTGGCTTTATAAAAACCTTGCTTTCGTAATAAAATTAATGTTTAGAATAATATAAGTCTTGTATACATTATTGAATTAATAGCTTATAATATTTTATAAGGAACTGACTATAAATTTCGTATGCTACAAAATTCTCTTTTTCTTGTACAGGATGCTAAAGGGTTTGTCCTGGATTTGTTAAATTTTCTCCAAGAGCAATTCCAATATGTTCGAGCTTTGGAAAACATTGCCTTCTCTTTAACCATAGAAGATCGTCTAAAGCATACAGTTATGTGCTTGGAATCTCTCCGAAACGTCATCAAAAACAACCCTGGCACCGAAATGCAATGTATAGGTAAATTCGACTTACTCTACGGTTTCCTCACTGTCTCCAACCCCGCCATACAGAAGGAGGCACTTAATGTCATCTCCGTCGTAACGCGTAGCAACGAGTGCGTGAATGATATCGCTGGATCCGAAATCTTAGGACACCTACTACTCTCTCTTTACTCTATTCAAGACAAGCAGATGGAGGTACTGGAAACATTATTCGCCCTCATGTCTACCACAAAAATAGTCAAAGAGGCATTAAATAAGGGTGCGGTGGTGTATTTACTTGATTTATTCTGTAATTCTAATGTCACGCAAGTACGAGAGATGTGTGCAGACATTTTAGCCAAAATGAGTGCTGATAAGTTAGTGGGTCCACGCGTACGACTCGCAATGTCTGCATTCTTGCCCCCAATTTTTGCTGATGCGATGCGTGACAATCCAGAAGCTTGCGTGCATATGTTCGAGTCCGCCCACGAACATCCGGAACTTATTTGGGATCAAGAGGCCAAAGATCGGGTTTGCAACAGTATTGCAAGGCTTAGAAAAGAGTAAGTAGTAATAGTAAATACACTGCATATGTCTATTTTGCCAGTAAATCTTTAAAAGACTTGACGAATTATTTTTCAGAAAAACATGAACATGAAATTAAAAATAACGTTAAATTAATTTTTTGGTAAATACTTATAGGTACCTGTATAATTTTTCTCTTTTTCGACCAATAGTAAAAATTATAAATTTTGATAATTTTGTTAATAGAGAAAAATAAAATAACCGCTTTAATTTAAATAGTTACCTTTATGTATATTTTTGTTGTAATTTAAAGAATTAAGGAAATGAAGGTATTTTTCAAGTAATTGTTTTGCAATTTGTTAAGGCTTGCTTATTAAATTGTGCAATTATTTCAGGCATCAATCGGTTCAAATTCAAAATCCAAATATTTCATGGAAATTGCCAGATAATAACGGTCTATCAAACTTCGCAACACCAAATGAAATAATGGTAGGCGGTGTGTACTTGAGAATATTCGTATCCAACCCATCCTGGACTTTACGTCGACCCAAAGAATTCCTTAAAGAACTAATTGAAACTTGTCTTACACACATGTCAAAAGAAAAACCAAATGTATGTAAATTTAAAATAAGAAATATTTTAATATGATTTCACTTGATTAAATCTGTCGTAATTTGTGTTAGAATGATTTATTTTCTTTTCAGTTGGAATTATTGGATTTGGGAACAACAGCTTTATGTGCCTTATTACAAGCCCAACCCAATCTTCTCGATCTTATTCCTTCCATGGGACATATACCAAGACTATGTGAACAACTTGGAGCCAACACAAAGCAAATTCTTATTTATAAATCTGCTATTCTTATATTGCACACTCTTTCTTTGAGTTCGGTAATTCGTTTTTGTAATTATAATTTACATATTTTATTTTGTTCTATTTCAGGTTTGTATTTATTCATTGTCACAAACGAACTGCATGCATCCACTAAAACACGCAATGCAAATGAGGCGTGATATGGTCGGGGTTGGTTGCGAAACTCTTAATCGAATATTTTCTGCGAATCAAGAGCCCTTAGTAAGACAGGCCCTCGAAGCGGAACTGGTTCAGTATTTATTAGGACTTTTAGAAACTCGATTGGAATTGATTGAAAATCCAGCCATGACAAAAGCGCAGATTGTTAAAGCTTTGAAATCTATGAGCAAAAGTACCATGTATGGAGAAAGAGTCAGTGCCATTCTGGACAAAAGTTCGGTATGGGCCGATTACAAAGACCAAAAACATGATTTATTCATTTCAAATACATCTACAGCTGGGTATCTTACAGGTATGTACCTTAAAATGTGTTTTTCAGTTGAAAAATTAGTAATTTTTGTTTTAAACAGTTTTCCTTGTAAATCAATGTTGATTTTGCCCAATCCTTATTCCCAATCCTTAACAATTGCTCAAAACATTTATTCCCAATACTGATTCTGTAATTTTGTTGTCTTCTTTTCGAAATTTCAAATTAATGAATAGAGTTTTATTTAAAATGCAGGAACCCCAGCCTCAGCAGGATATCTTACTCAAGGAACGAGTGCAAAGGTAATGACGGCTCCTCCTCCTGTTGACAGGGAAGAGACGGTTATAAAACCAGATGTGCTGTGACCCGATCAAATATGTATTACTGATTTTATTGCTTATTATTTGAGTAAGTTCTTTTACTTAAGATTAAATGTAAAGATAAAAATGAAAGACTTAAAATAATTTTGTGTACTAAAATACACATTCCTAAATATGAGTTTTACTAACTGTTAGTTTAGTATGTATTTATGTATAAAATGTAAAATATTTGTATTTTAATATTTATAAAAAGTGAATTAAAGTTCTTATTAAAAAAATCTTTTTATTACAAAGTATCTTTTGTATAACAATAAACATAAACAAAATAAACAAGTCGTTTTTATTTATATTGACAATTTGTATGTTCTGTAATAAACCTGTAAAGATAGATGTTTTCTCTGTAATACAGAAAATATTTTAAATTTGATACGATCAGCGCCATCGTACTGTTAGTAGCTAAACTATCTCTCAAAGTAGCGCAAAATCTGCTATATAATGTTGGTCTCACGCTGAAAGTGTGAACCCAGAAAAAGATCTTATGCGACTTATGCTCTCCTAATACAAAAGTTGAAAATTTCGGTTTTGAGACGAATTTAGTATTCAATGCTTGGAACTACTAGCGCCATCTTACGGTTACTATCTGAACTACAGTGAGGTTTAGCGCAAAAACTAAAAAAGATCTGATATGACTTATGCTCTCCTGATACAAAAAGTTGAATTTTGAAGACAAACGCAAAATTTCCGACTTTTGTATTAGGAGAGCATAAGTCGCATAAGATCTTTTTCTGGGTTCACACTTTCAGCGTGAGGCCAACATTATATAGCAGATTTCGCGCTACTTTGAGAGATAGTTTAGCTACTAGCGGTATGATGGCGCTGATGGTATCAAATTTAAAATATTTTCTGTATTACAGAGAAATTAAAACAATTTTTAGTCTTTATAAATTTATTGGTAGTAAATAATGAAATTGCACAAAAAGCAAATCAAATTATTTAACTGTTATTATAAAACTAAAATATACTTCACATTTTAAAAGTAAAAAGCACATTTATATTCTTTTAATCGTGCTTATAGTAATACAAAACTTAGTGCGTTTTGAACGTATTTTGTACAGTAAATTGTACATTAAATTAATTATTTATTATCAAAGGAAGTTTGTAATTGCTAAAATACTATGAAAAAGAACACATTTATGGTTTCTCGACTACTTTAAATTGTTTGCAACAAATTTTAATTTCAACTATCGAATTGAAAAATTTAATAACAGTATATGTTCAAAAGTCAACTTTAAATTGTTCTTTTTGTCGTTCTAAACTACATATTTATGAACAGATACATTACATTGGTGCAATTATACATTAATTATGTGCAATGCTATCTAACATATCAAAGAAAGAATAAAATTATACGTTTGTAACAACTGAGCTTCTTGTTTTCTTATTTAATCTAATATACACTTGTATATTTGAAACACGTATCTTTTCTGATCATATTTTTCATTTAAAAATTTAATTTATTTACGTTAGTGAGAATTACATAAATAATTTCAATTATTGAATGTACTTTTCAGTTCAGAACATTAAATTTTGGTTTTCTGTTAACAACATTGTATATATTTGGATGCAAGATATGTGTGTTACCCTTATTTTTCTTCTAAATATTAAAATTAAAACAATTTTAATATATGTTTAGAGCTAACTATGTCAATTTACTGTTACAAGGGAGATATATATATAATTTACGTCGAGTTCCCTATAAGTAGTCTACTTTCTTCTGGATGGTTACGAACATCGCACACGTCAATTCATTGATAGTTTTAACTTCCTCAGCTACAAGCCTTGTCACATTTTACGAGTTAACTGCCCAATTTTATGTATTCTATTTCGTTTTCTAATAGTGTATTCAAATATTTGACTATTTCAGTGAATGTAGGCCTTTCGTATGGGTTATACTCCCAACAACTCCGCATAAGTTTATATCTGAAATAAAAAAATATTAAGAAATAAAGTAATACGTACTTGCCCTCGAATTTTTTCGATTTAACTAAATTTGGCCATCCATTAAAACTTAATTTGTCATGCAAAAATTGAAAATTTTTAAAAGTTGAAAGAAATTTTGACTATAATCTAAAACTAATGCCGCCCTGAAAACAAATGTAGTTAGTTTGGAAATTCTTTTAAATTCATATTAATTATAATCAAATAATTATCCTGTTATGGGGAACCCATAGTTAAATTCAAATGTTAATTACTTGTAATAGAAATTGTTTTCAACGATATATGTTAAAAATTAAAGTTGCCATTACCATTTGAATTCAACTTTGGGTTTCATATAACAGAATAATTGTAGTTAATATGAACCTGAAAGAATTTTCAAGTTAATTAGATTTGTTTTCAAGGCATCATAAATTCTAGAAAAAGCTTTTAATTTATGGAAGTGCTTTTAGAAGCACTATTATAGGCAATTTTTTAAGAACGTACAGTTCCATGCTACAATTTTCTGGACGTGCCATTCTGCATCCACTTTCCAGATATTTCAGCAAATCTCGCGTTGCTACGTCAGGATATGGGAATCCACCAAGGGTTACAATTTCCCATAATAAAATTCCGTATGACCAAACGTCGCTTTGTGTTGTATACTGCTGGTGTGTTAGTGATTCTATGGCCATCCATTTCAGGGGTAATTTACCTCCACTACTCTTACAGTAGATGTTATCTTGATAAACATCTCGACTTAATCCAAAATCTGCTACTTTAACGCAGTTATCTTCGCATACCAACACGTTTCTCGCCGCTAAATCTCGATGAAGCAAACGAAGACTGGAGAGGTATTCCTTTCAAACAAAATGGTACAATTATTTTAAATTGAAAGTATTTACCTTTCTTAATGGTCTTTTACCATTCCCAAAGCTATTTGTCGTGCAAAAGATAAGAGATCTAACGGTTTCAAAATATATCCGTTTAAGTCATCCTGCATATCATACAATTTATTTGATACTTCGCCATTATTGGCGTATTGTAAACTTTTGTAATCTTCAATCTTCATACAGCTTAAACAAAAAGGATTTACAAATTGCATGTTAATAACAAAATAACATACTTACTGTCCATTCAACTTTCTCCACACTGATCTAAGATACGATTGAAGATCTCCTTTTGCACAAAATTCGACGATCAACAGGGGTCTGTTTCTTCTTTTCCAAGAACACATGCCAATGAGTGAGACTAAATGAGGGTGACTTCCCACAGTTTTCATTATTTCTATTTCTTGTTGAAATTCTTTAAGATCACTTGAATTTGGGTAATCTAAAATACTGTAAATCGTCATATTCAAAATGACTTAAACAACCATGTAAAATCTAAAAGCTCTAATTACAAGATACCATTTGAATTTCAAACAACTTGTTGAATAAATTGAAAAAGACGACAACAAAATAACTATAAGTAAGACGAAGTACATTTTGATTTTACAAATAACCATCGAGTTTCAACTTCCTGATATAAATTTTTTAACATAAGATTTATTGACGGAACTTATTCTAATTAAAAATTCACGATTAATTATCAAAATTAAACATAAACATACAAATCTTTTAATTTATAGAACACGTTAAAATATTCCAGACTAATAACAATAACAATAATTACACTTTGAAATCAACAAACACGCATAATTCCTAAAATTGTGTTATCAGCTGAATTCATTCATAAGTATTAAATTACATTACTGCAAATCTATTTCACTGGCACTGCATTTGTGCGTTTTTATAGCTTCCAAAGTACTTTCTTTATAAATTTGTAAAAAAAATTGTTAATGCAAAAAAAGTATTGTACGTAGATATCTACATTATTATATTCACTAGCTTTTCCCCGGCGGCTTCGCTCGCAGAAATTAATATTGTTTCTCCATAAAACCTTTTAACTCCCGATTCACCCTTACAAAGTTTTAATTTTATGTAATGTCGCCATCTTACATTTTAAGTACAATCGTAGCAACAACACTTCATCCTTAAGGGTTGATTTTTAAGAATTGCCAAAGCACGTGTTTACTTAATTTCAACACTGAAAATTAAAAGCAACCTTACAAATAAAATAAATCCCATAGAAACGTTGCAACCTTTTTTCACTTGATTAATTGTATCAAAGAGCATTAAGACCAAATTTCAAGTAAATTCAACCACAAATAAAATATGTCAGAAACAAAAATTGCAACCCTTTTTCATCTTCCCCCTTTCGGAGGTAAAATTTATTAAAATGTCGAGTTAGGTTTCAATAATTAAATAAGAGAGCATTAAAACCAAATTTCAAGTAAATCTGATTACAAATAATATATGTCCCATTCAAACATTGCAACTCCTTTTCACCCCCCCCCCCTTCCTCGGAAGTTGAATTTTTTAACCAAGTTTCAAGTAAATCTGACCAAAAACGTAAATATTCCATACAATCTTTGCAAACCCTTTTAACTTTCGTGCAGAGATTGAATTTTTTTAAATGTTGGAATAGGTATATCACTAAGTTAAATGAAAGAGCATTATAACTAAGTTTCAAGTAAATCTGACCATAAATAAAATATCTAACATATAAACGTTACAACCGCTTTTTACGCCCTTGCAGAGATCGAATTTTTTAAAATGCTGAAATAGGTGTTTGATTTTAATCTGATGATTTTTGATTAAAAACAAAAAGTAACAAATGTACAGAAAATTTTCCTGAAACTGATGTTAGTGCTACTTACGGGGTGTAACTGTAGTGAAAGTAAAATATTTTTGATTAATAAATTTTATCAAATCAATAAAAAATACAAATAAATAATACTATTATTATAAATCTAAGCCATTCTCGAATCCACTGGAACACACACAAATTTTTTTATCAAAATCGGTCGATCCTTTTAGGAGGAGTTTAATTACAAACAGACGCACAGAAGATTTTTATACATAAAGATAATACTGTAAGAACATCTAAAAGCTACTTGACTTTCTTTATCTATCTACTTTAAAAACTTACCTTTAAGCATTTTGATAGCAACCGGGATACTTTCGGAATTGATATGCAAATAACCTTTACGTACAATTCCAAATGCACCTTCCCCAATAACCTGACCAATTGTTAAATTGTCAGCATCCAATTCCCACTTGTCAGAATACTCAATTATTGGCTGTTCAATCTGAGCTATTGTATAAACTCCAGATGCACTTTTGCGATGCTCATAAAACTAAAAGTGACAAAAAATGCCCTTTATATTATTATACAAAAATTACATCTATTGAAATCATCTTCAACATACTGCGAGCAAATCACAAAGTCTTTATCATTGACTTTTTTAAGTGAAGAGATAAATGCTCAAGAGATTTTTGTTTTCTTCAAGGTCCTATTATTGTATGGTAAGTCTCTCCCTAATATATTTCAATGAAGAAGTTCAAGTAAACTCAAGAGGTGGAAATATCTACTACTTTGTATAATCATAATCATGTTTTCACCCTTTGAGTTTGCTTGAGTTTCTTCATTAGTTATTATATTATGTTATTACTTATTACTTACGTCTGCAGTTGCTTCCAGTCTTTGTCTTTTAACTTTAGCAAATTTAAAGTAACGATATACTATGAAGCTTACTAGAACGACTGCAAAAGAGACGGTGACTACTCCAAAAATAACCAAAAAGTCACCTACTTTCCACACTGGAGTGATAACTGGCGAGGAAATCTCAACGTCATTAGACGAGGTTGAATTTCCTCCATTAGAAAATGCAGTTATTTCAACTACATAACAAGATCGAAATTTTACATTTGAAAACACTGCGGAAGTTTCATCCTACAAATATAATTTAAAACTATTAATATTGAAGTGCATTTTTAATAACCATTTAAATTTCTTAACATAATTCTACAGCACATAATTAACATTTAAACAGCTTTAACTTCATAAAGCTTTAGATATGATTCTAATCTTTTAATGATAAAGGTACATTCATTCTCATTAAAATTTCTTACCCCTGAAACATTCATGGTTAATGTATCCACTGCAACAACATAATAATCAGGCAGATATTCTGGTTTTTCCCATACAATTGTCAAATCATAAGAACATTCATCCAGACTGTTACCNGTATCACAAATAAAAAAAATCGGTTACGGTAAATTTTGTAAAGTCGCCTGTTTATTGTGGTATATAGTCCCAAGTGGAAAGAAATAATTACCTGGCAGATATTCTGGTTTTTCCCATACAATTGTCAAATCATAAGAACATTCATCCAGACTGTTACCTATTTGAACTAAAACATCGCTAACGTTTAACAACTGCGGTACAGAAGGAGCTAAAATTAAAAAGAAAAGGAGCATTGTTTACTGCATGGAATAATTATTACTGGACGTACAGACTATACCTTTAATAACAAATGAACTGTTATAAGAAATACTCAACGTGAAAAATGCTGCTCTCATTCATTACTTTTTTCGTTCTCTAAAAATATTACTTTTGAGGATAGGGATTCACAACTGAAGAAAACAAGTTTTCGAATTTAATGAAAAATTAAATTAGCTCGAATGCTTAGATACAGCGAATGTTTTTATTTGTATCTCTTTTCATAAAATAAATGTAATATCAGAAAATGTACTTCACAATTATAATTAATCATCAATTTTGGAAAAAACTATTGCATTACTATTTAAATTTTTCAATATTACTACAATATTAAATAGATAGTTAATAAAAAAAAATTAAAGTCATAGGTATGCGCAATTAGAATTTACCTACTTATTTTTTATTGATTTACATCTCAGTATACTGATTTTAATTATTATTAATTAATAGAACAAGATTTATAAAAGGATTACAATAAAAGTACTGTTTAACGCAATTTATTTAAGTTTTATTGTAAAAATTTTTTCAAGGTTGAACCAATATATTTTGATTGGTTGTCACGGAGCCCTTTAAATCCTCATGGGGCCCACAAACCAGTGTTTGCTCTGTCTGGGTAATCCGAAGCAGAAACGAAACGTTAAAAATATGCGAAGTTTAATTGTCAACATTGTATTGAAAAAATTAAATCTGTTTATTTAAATGCAATCGTTGAAAAATATTAAAAGTTAACCATAATTATTTTTATACTTATAGTTAATCGTAAATAATTAATATTAACCTGCAAGTAGTTATTAGTTAATCATAACTAATATAGCGGGGTTTTACAGATAATAATACGGGACAAACGCAGGGCGATTTAGAAATAGTTACCTATAAGATGCCTTCATGCTTATGAAATTTTACTATTTATTATTTCTTGTAAAGTCATTAAATAGATTTTCTATTAAACTTTTCGAAACAATATAATGACCATTAAATATATANAACATCGCTAACGTTTAACAACTGCGGTACAGAAGGAGCTAAAATTAAAAAGAAAAGGAGCATTGTTTACTGCATGGAATAATTATTACTGGACGTACAGACTATACCTTTAATAACAAATGAACTGTTATAAGAAATACTCAACGTGAAAAATGCTGCTCTCATTCATTACTTTTTTCGTTCTCTAAAAATATTACTTTTGAGGATAGGGATTCACAACTGAAGAAAACAAGTTTTCGAATTTAATGAAAAATTAAATTAGCTCGAATGCTTAGATACAGCGAATGTTTTTATTTGTATCTCTTTTCATAAAATAAATGTAATATCAGAAAATGTACTTCACAATTATAATTAATCATCAATTTTGGAAAAAACTATTGCATTACTATTTAAATTTTTCAATATTACTACAATATTAAATAGATAGTTAATAAAAAAAAATTAAAGTCATAGGTATGCGCAATTAGAATTTACCTACTTATTTTTTATTGATTTACATCTCAGTATACTGATTTTAATTATTATTAATTAATAGAACAAGATTTATAAAAGGATTACAATAAAAGTACTGTTTAACGCAATTTATTTAAGTTTTATTGTAAAAATTTTTTCAAGGTTGAACCAATATATTTTGATTGGTTGTCACGGAGCCCTTTAAATCCTCATGGGGCCCACAAACCAGTGTTTGCTCTGTCTGGGTAATCCGAAGCAGAAACGAAACGTTAAAAATATGCGAAGTTTAATTGTCAACATTGTATTGAAAAAATTAAATCTGTTTATTTAAATGCAATCGTTGAAAAATATTAAAAGTTAACCATAATTATTTTTATACTTATAGTTAATCGTAAATAATTAATATTAACCTGCAAGTAGTTATTAGTTAATCATAACTAATATAGCGGGGTTTTACAGATAATAATACGGGACAAACGCAGGGCGATTTAGAAATAGTTACCTATAAGATGCCTTCATGCTTATGAAATTTTACTATTTATTATTTCTTGTAAAGTCATTAAATAGATTTTCTATTAAACTTTTCGAAACAATATAATGACCATTAAATATATATATCAACAGCCCTCTTCAAGCGCAAATATTAAGTAACAATTGAAGTCCACTTATTTTGTTTTAATTTTTTCTTCTGTCATTTGGTTTATCTGTTATTATTGTAATAATGATTGTATTTTATAAACATGTAATCCAATAAAAGCATTTCCCTAAATTCCTTAATATGAAAAACCTTTATGAACCTTTTATCATCGTCTTGACACAACACAATAAGTTACTATAAAAAGTATCACAAATAAAAAAAATCGGTTACGGTAAATTTTGTAAAGTCGCCTGTTTATTGTGGTAGATAAACCCAAGGCGAAAGAGTGAGACCTCCCACATTGTGTCTGAGTCTGCCTTAAGTGCTTCTTCTTTTAATAAATAATAGTTTTGGGCTGCTTAAAGTAAATAAGCAAAGATGTATTAAAAATAGCAACCTACCACAAATATCTAAACTTTGAAGGGTTTCTAAACAGGAAGGAGTTTCCGTACATGTCATTGTTTCCGTGTTGTTCCACGCTTCTACACACACTGTGCACTGACCATCCATTTTGATATCTTCAAATGTAAATTCGAATGAATGTTTTGGCTGAATAAAACAAATCAAACATTTCTATTCAACTAAAGTTTCTATACGGTTACTTACATACTCTATTTCCATCCTGTAGTCGCAGGAGCTTCCCGTAGAGCTTTTACCATTCGAATAAAGATAATAAGTGCAAGATAAATCTAAAATTAAAATTCTGCGATAATTTTCTAATATGTATTAGACCGTCCCAAAGTACTGATCATATTTAATTAAACTAATAAATTATTTAAGTCCTAATTTAAAAAAGATAAGGAAATACATATGTTATCGTATTAGAGACTTCTCTAATCTTATGATAATGATGATGACAATGTACCCAAAACACTTTTGTGATGATCGATAGAGTACTAGTTAAGGCAGTGGTTTCCAACTTTTTTATACCTGCGACCCCTTTAAAAAAAAAAAAATTGTTGCGCCCCCTTAATTTTCTAACATTCTAATTTCATAAGAGGTATTGGAAAGAATAGGAGAACAGAGGACTCTATGGAAGTCAATAAAAAATAGGCGAGATAGGTTGGTAGGACACCTTCTGAGGCATGAAGGTCTAGTCAGAGACATATTAGAGGCAGAAACAGGAGTTAGGAGGGGTAGAGGTAGACCTAGATTAGATTACTGTTCGCAAATAGTTAAGGATGTGGGCTGTTCTAGTTTTAGGGAAATGCGAAGTTTAG